CGTCTTATATGCCGGAGCGTCTTATATGGCGAAAAATACGGTACTTATAAAGTATGGAGTGTTGTCAACAAGAACAAATACAAGCTGCTTCCACTTTGATTTCATATACATCAGAAACATTGTCACAGATCAGTCACTTGAACTGTGGGGTTTCAATAATGCACAGTTTGAGAACAGTACTTCACCAGAATAGTATCTAGGTCACTGTCTAGAATGTGATTAGTGAAATCACTAAAGCAGCTCATAAATTCTTGTTTCTCTATTCAATTTTTAAAAAACTGTACCTAAATCACTTCACACTCTGAGAAGTTTTAACATGGACAGCAATTTAAGAGAGGTCAAGATCAGACAGTTTTTGCACTTTCCTATAAACAAAGGCAAAGACTGTTGTCAGCTGTTATTCAATCTTCTACCTCAAGCAGGTGATATTAAGAGCGCCTGCATAGTAGCTTCTTTCTGGCTGATAATTCCTCTGAATAAAAAGACAGTTGGTAGCTGTCTCATTTCACTTGACACTCCACTCAGATAAGTTTCAGCTGAGGCTTTTGCAACAAAACACCAATTCCCCAAAGCTGGAACCTTTCCCTCCTAACATCATGTAAGCCTGAACCAATGTTAAATAAAAGGAGAAACTTTATCAGCCACCACAAATAATGCTTCTATTGTTTAATCATGCTTTTCTTTTTTTTTTTCTTTTTTAAGAAAAGGCTTAATTTTTGAAAGTATAGAAATTAGGCAGTTTTTTTAAAAAAATGCAATAAATAAAACAGCATACAAAGAAGGAATGTGATGAACTATCTTTGTCATTGCAAGGACTACCTTCCCTTGTAGGTAGAAAATTGAAAAAACAAGGCAGACCCTCATCCTTAAAATGTATGACCCAGGGATGTGCAGAAGATCTACCACTGCAGGGGTGGCAAATCCACTTTTGATTTTACTACTGCTCCTCCAGCACCTGGAGTCCACATTGCCCAATAGTCCACATCGGTTGGCAGCTCTGCTGATGCTGAACCTCCAGCACCAGGAGAGCTCCTGTTCAACACACAGCAGCTGCAGGAAAAACACAGTAAAATCTAAAGCAGGGGTAGGCATCCTTTTTGAGCAGGGAGCCAGGTTGCTGTCCCTCAGACAATTGGGGGGCCAAAACACCAAAAATAAATAAATAAAATAATTAATTAATATATATATATATATTTAAAAAATTAAAAAATATGCATGCACACGCTCTCAGCCCCAGAAAAGCCATGGCAAAACCCCTGTGGAGATTTTGCCACAAAAACCCCAAGAGCAAGTAATAACAACAAGAATCAATATCATCATGGCGGGGGGGGCGGTGGTGACAGCGGCGGCAGCAGGGCCGGCCTAGGGCCGGTCCAAAGGCCTCGGGGGGCCGCATCCAGCCCCCGGGCCTTAGGTTGCCTACCCCTGATCTAAAGCAAAGTCACCGTCCCTGTGATGCCAGATCCAGCAGCCACTCTTCATGTGAAGTGTGATGCTACAGTGAAACTATTCTGAGCCAGGGAACTTCATCTTACTAACACCTTGATTTTATCCTTAAGCCCATTACCTTCAAGCTACACCTAATTATGCACAGGAATGGGTTGCAAGTTCTCTGTCTGCTGCCTTTTCATGAAGCTAATATTAAACGACCAGGTAATTTAGCAGAGGTACACATCTTCCAGTAGTATCAGGTTTCCAGTCTAAGAAACTTCTTGATCCATTATTGCTCCTGAAGAGTCATATGGACAGAAGTGCTTGCCTTCACCAACAAGTGTTCCCATAAGAGGCAGATTTGGCTACATACTCTGGTTATATCAGTACTGAATTACTGTCAAGCACTCTACACAGGTTTTTCTTTGGCTGCATCCGCACTGCAAAAATAATACATTTTGACACCACCTTAACTGCCATGGCTCTCTGCTATGGAATTCTTTTACTTGTAGTTTTGTGAGACATTTTGCTTTCTTTCTCCGAGAGCTCTGGTGCCTCAACAAACTAAGGGCCTTTGCAGACTGCCAAAAATAGTGCTAATTGAGTCCACTTTAAGGGTTAGGGTTAGTGCTAGGGAGTC